CCTCAGCCTCCTGAGTAGCTGGGATTACAGGCATGCGCCACCATGCCCAGCTAATTTTTTGTATTTTTAGTAGAGACGGGGTTTCACCATGTTGACCAGGATGGTCTCGATCTGTTGACCTTGTGATCCACCCGCCTCGGCCTCCCAAAGTGCTGGGATTACAGGCTTGAGCCACCGCGCCCGGCCATGCTATTTTTATAAGTTAGCTTTCGTTGTATAACATACTATGCCAGACTTAGTAGCTTAAAAACAAACTTTATTATTTTTTATGATTCTTATTGGCTGGATGGATCTTTTATCATGGAGATATTTGGTTGTGGCTGAATGGTCTAAGATTAAGCTGGCTGGCCTGACTCACATGTGGCACAGTTGGCTTAGTATCAGTGGAGGTAGTGAGAATGTGTTGGCCATATATCTCTCTTGAAACAAGCCAACCCAAAGACACTTACATGGTGGTGGTCACAGGATTTTCAAAAACATGAAGAGAGAGGGCAAGAACGTTTCAAGTCTCTGCTTGTGTTACTTTGTCATTTTCTCACTTACCAAAGCAAATTGTGTAGCCAAACATAGAGTGTGGAAGGAGAACACCAATGGTGTAGGCAAAGTAGCAAGTTAATATAGTCATTTTTTCTCAATCTGCCACACTATTCTAGAACAGAAAAACAGGAACAATATATTTTGTTTCTTATAATTATATCCAAAATAAAGTAATCTAATTAAATCTTAGCCTTTAAGACTATTTCCATGAAGCAGTTGGCATTATTCTCATTTCTAACAGTGCCTGGGTAAATAGCAGTTAAATATTTCTAACAGTGCCTGCTCAAGATACACTTGTGGAATGAATAAATAAGTGAATGAATGAATACATAATGAATGGACAAAACAAATGAATTTCAAACCCAGATGGATCAGCCAAAGTCATAACCCTTCTTTTCTACCCCCACCCAAACATCCTATTACTTAGAGGTCATTGATTTAGAGAGTTGAACATTTTTCAACACAACTTTTATCTCACCATGGGGTTATCTTCTTCTTCTAGGAAACTGGAATGAGGGCTACAAATCCCAAGAAGAAAAATACAGATATTTAGAATACGAAAATTTTTCCTGCTGGCAAGGCTGGTGGAATGCTGGCACTCAGATATATGAGATTCAGAACTATGGGGAAACTATTCAAGGGGAAGATTCCAAAGACCTAAAACAGCAAAGTTTTTCCCAGTGTCAGAAATGGTTAATATTCTCTACACAAGTACCAGGGTATGGGAACTATGAACTAACTTTTGAAAGCAAAAGTCACAGGAACTTAAAATATAAAAGCTTTACACCTTGGCAGTCCTTAGAAACAAAAACCATTCAAGACTGTGGTAGAGAAATCTACATGAATGGTTCACATGGTTTTCAAGTGGGCAGATGCCGTCCTGGTATATCCAGGAAAAACCTCTCCATGGAAAAAGAACAGAAGCTCAGAGTTCAGCATTCTTATATCCCAATGGAGGAAGCCCTTCCACAGTACATTGGGGTGATATGTCAAAAAGACCTGCTGAAAGATTCGATGGAAGAGAAATACTGTGGATGTAATAAATGTAAAGAAATTTATTATTGGAATTCACAGTGTGTTTTTCACAAAAGAAATCAACCTGGAGAAAACCTCTATCAATGTTCCATCAGTAAAGCATGCTTCTCTCAGAGATCAGACTTGTATAGACATCCAAGAATCTACATAGGTAAGAAGCTGTATGGATGTGATGAAGTCAACAGTAACTTTCATCTGAGCTCAGGAGTTCACTTTTATCAGAGAGTTGACATAGGGGAGGCACCTTATAGCTGTAATGTGTGTGGTAAGAGCTTCAGCCGGATCTCTAGTCTTCACAATCATCAAAGAGTCCACACAGAAGAGAAACTCTATAAAATTGAGTGTGATAAAGACCTCAGTAGAAATTCATTAATTCACATTCACCAGAGACTTCATGTAGGAGAGAAGCCTTTTAAGTGCAGTCAGTGTGGCAAGAGTTTTAGTCGGAGTTCAGTACTTCATGTTCATCAGAGAGTCCACACAGGAGAAAAACCATATAAGTGTAATGAGTGTGGTAAGGGCTTCAGCCAGAGCTCTAATCTTCGAATTCATCAGTTAGTACACACAGGAGAGAAGTCTTATAAATGTGAAGACTGTGGTAAGAGCTTTACCCAACGCTCAAATCTTCAAATTCATCAGAGAGTGCATACAGGAGAGAAACCTTATAAATGTGATGACTGTGGAAAGGACTTTAGTCACAGCTCAGATCTTCGCATTCATCAGAGAGTCCATACAGGGGAGAAACCCTATACTTGTCCTGAATGTGGGAAGGGCTTCAGTAAGAGTTCAAAGCTTCACACTCATCAAAGAGTACACACTGGAGAGAAACCCTATAAATGTGAAGAGTGTGGCAAGGGATTCAGTCAACGTTCACATCTTCTCATTCATCAGAGAGTCCATACAGGAGAAAAGCCCTATAAATGTGATGACTGTGGAAAGGGTTTTAGTCACAGTTCTAATCTTCATATTCATCAGAGGGTCCATACAGGAGAGAAGCCTTATCAATGTGCTAAGTGTGGTAAAGGTTTTAGTCATAGTTCAGCTCTTCGAATTCATCAAAGAGTCCACACAGGAGAGAAACCTTATAAATGCCATGAATATTATAAGGGATTTGATCATAATTCACATCTTCTTACTAATCATAGAAGAGAAAACTTATAAATGTTGTTCATTTAGTTAACAGCCTTAATCAAAGTTTACCCAACCTTTCAACTCTATAAATGCTGCTGGTAAGGAAATCCTATAAATAACACAGGTAATATCAAGCAAGATTTATCATTTCCCATATTTCCCACTAAGAATTATTTCCTTCAAAAAAAGATCCTTAGAAAAATCCCTATATATTTAAAATTACAGTGTATTTTTCTTTACCTACTATAAATATAATATGCAATCATAAAATATATTAAACATTTAAGGAGAAAACTTCATCCTGTTTCATTCTAGTCTTTTTTTCTGTGCATTTTAATGTGCATGAAAATATATTGTGTGTTCAACTTTGTGTTTTCACTGACTTCAAAACATTTACTTAAATTTTGTTTTGAATTGAAACTGGCCATCTGTTAAACAACATCCCTTAACTACCCTAAAAAAATCCCTAGGAAGTCACAGAAAAGATGAAAACACACAAAACTTAAAACTCAGTTTTGACCAGTAGAATTCAATTATTTATGGACAAAATCCACCTAATGAAAGATAGGAAAGCATTGTATGACTTTGTATCTGAGATAGTGTAGCTGTGAGTTATTATCTCTGTCAGCCAGAAAACCCAGCGACCATCCTTCTGTTGCAGGGGTGCTGAACTTTGAGGTAACCACAATGCACTCTTATCCTTTCCCTTTCATGGTTTTCCATGCTTGTTCACAGGTTCAGAATTCAAATAAGAAGTACAGAATTTAGTTTATCTAAGGTGTGAAGGGTTTGGACAGAAGTGCTAGCAATGTAAGATACTCCATTGGTTCAGAATTGGAGATCCAAGCAGTATAATTTTATTTAATCTCAGTAGAATAGAGTGGTAATAGAGAACTATCTGCTAGGATAGCACTGAACTCAGAATTCTATGCAACAAGGTACCCTGAAGCTAATTTTGTAAGAAGAGAGTTTGGCCATTATAAAAATGGAATAGATTTAATAGGAATACAGAGTCCTAATTATTGATACACAAATATGCTTAGGTAGTACTTCCCAAGAGAAAAAAAAAAAGGGGGGGGGACTTGCTTAGGAAAATAAGAGGGAATTGCAATACCAAAGAAAAGAATATCATCCTAAAGACTTCGAAATTTATTGCCCTGAAAATTAGCTACTGCAGGCTCCAGAGGAAATTTCCAAAATGTTGGTATCCTCAGTGGCATAACAGAGAACCTGAATTCAATAAAGCTAGAGTAGAAATATACAAGTAGGGGAGAGTCTCTAAAGTAAAAAGAGAAATAGGTACAACAAAGAAGGGCTTCAGGGAACTTTGAAATGCTATAACAAAATAAAAGTCAATAAGTAAAATTAACATTGCAGAATATAAAATAATTGATAGTTAATGGGTAAACTTGATCTGATCTTAAATGTATAGGAAAAGGATAATGAGATGGAAACTGAGAAAAGGCAGATATGAAGATCAGAGAATGGAAGTCCAGTGTGAGAATTAAAGGTGTTTCTAAGGAAGGTGAAAGAACATTTGGAACAAAATCAATGATCAAAGACATTAAGAAACTTTTTCTGAGTTAAAAGTATACAGTCACTAAATTTTAGGCAAACCAAATATCAGAGTAACCTTAGAAACAGCTCCGAAATAAAAGCAATTTGGAGAGAGATCCAAGATGACTGATCACTAGCAGCTTGGGATTGTAGCTCCCAGTGAAAATGCAGAGAACGAGAGGATGCTTTCATACGAAGTTTTGTTGTTCATGCACCAGGAGATTCCCAGCAGAGAAGCCCCAGTGCGACTCTTGTGGCCGGTGAGGTGGTTTTGCCGCTGCCTTGGTGTGGCGGTTCTTGGTGCAGAGTCAGAAAAGCACCATCAATCTTAACGCTGCTGTTTTGGCCGGTGCAGTGGGTTTCTCAGATTTTAGCACTGGGAATCAACAAGTTGGATGTCCACTCAGAAACCCAATTATAAAGATGGTAATTATAAAGACCACAGATGGATAAATCTATAATGAAGGGAAGAAACCAGCCTAAAAAGGCTGAGAATACCCAAAATCAGAATGCCTCTCCCTCTACAGGGGATCACAGTTCCTCATCAGCAACAGAACAAGGCCTGATGGAGAACGAGTGTGTTCCATTAACAGAAGCGGGCTTCAAAAGGTGGATGATAAGAAACTTCAGTGAATTAAAAGAACTTGTTCTAACCCAATGCAAAGAAACTAAGAACTTTGAAAAAAGGTTTGACGAAATGTTAACAAGAATATACAACATAGAGAGGCATATAAGTGAATTAATGGAGCTGAAAAACACAACACGAGAACTTCGTGAAGTATGCACGAGTTTTAGCAGCCGAATTGATCAAGTAGAAGAAAATATATCAGAGGTCGAAGACCAAATTAATGAAATGAGAAGACAAGATTAGAGAAAAAAGGATAAAAAGGAATGAGCAAAGTCTCCAATAAATATGGGACTATCTGAAAAGACCTAATCTACATTTGATAGGTGTACCTGAATGTGACGAAGAGAATCAATCAAGCTGGAAAATATGCTTCAGGATATTATTCAGGAAAACTTTCCCAATCTGGCAAGGCAGGACAATATTCAACTCCAGGTAATACAGAGAACACCACAAAGATATTCCTCAACAAGACCAACCTCAAGGCACATAATCGCCAGATTCACCAGGGTTGAAATGAAGGAGAAAATACTGAGGGCAGCCAGAGAGAAAGGTCAGGTTACCCATAAAGGGAAGCCCATCAGACTCACAGCAGATCTCCCAGCAGAAACCCTACAAGCCAGAAGAGAGTGGGGGCCAATATTCAACACCCTTAAAGAAAACAACTTTCAACGCAGAATTTTACATCCAGCCAAACTAAGCTTCATAAGCAAAGGAAAAACAAAATCTTTTGTGAACAAGCAAGCACTCAGAAATTTCATGACCACCAGGCCTGCTTTACAAGAGCTTCTGAAAGAACCACTACACATAGAAAAGAACAACCAGTATCAGCCTTTCTAAAAAATACCAAAAAGTAAACAGCATCAACATAATCATGAATTTACATCAACTAATGGGCAAAACAGCCAGCTAACATTAAATGACAGCATTAAACTCACATATATTATTATTAATTCTAAATTTAAATCGACTAAATCCCCCAATCCAAAGACACAGACAGGCAAAAAAAGCCAAAATCCATCGGTATGCTGCACCCAGACCCATCTCACATGCAAGGATGCACAAAGACTCAAAGGATGGAGAAAGATTTACCAACCAAATGGAGAGCAAAAATAAATAAATAAATAAATAAAAGGAGTTGCGATTTTTGCCTCTGATAAAATAGACTTCAAAGCAACAAAGATCATAAGAAGCAAAGAAGGATATTACATAATGATAAAAGGATGAATGCAACAAGAAGAGCTAAAGATCCTAAATATATACGCACCCAATACAGGGATACCCAAATATATAAGACTTATAAAGAGACTTAGACTCCCACACAATAATAGTAGGAGACTTCAACATCAATATTAGACAGATCAATGAGACAGAAAATTAACAATGATATCCAGGATTTGAACTCAGATCCAGAACAAGTAAAGTTAATTAACATTTGTAGAACTCTCCACTTTAAATACACATAATATACATTCTTATCAGTACCACATCACACCTATTTACAGGCTTAAATGAAATATTGGTTGACTGCTTGTTTGTTGTTTTCTTCCCTCATTTTTTTTNTTTTGGTGTTTTTTAGTAGAGACAGGATTTCACCATGTCGGCCATGTTGGACTTGAACTCCTGACCTCAAGTGATCCGCCCGCCTTGGCCTTCCAAAATGCTGGGATTACAGGCGTGAGCCACTGCGCCCGGCCTGATTTCATAATTTTCTACTATGGTCCCTTCCTTCCTGCTTCACTACTTTTCTTAAATTTTCCTTCCATAGTCCTGTACTCTGCCCTTAGCAATCACCTGCCTTTTGGGAAAGGTATTCTGGTTCTTAATTAAAAGAATTGTCACTGAATGGCAGACCACTTCCACATATGGCAAGCATTATTCACAATCTTGTCTTAAGCCAAGCATGGTGGCACATGACTGTAATTTCAGATAGTTAGGAGATGGAGGCAGGAGGATCACTGGAGCCCAGGAATTCAAGGCCAGCCTGAGCAACCTAGTGAAACTCCCATCTCTTAAAAAACAAAAACACCAACGAAAAAAACAAAAGCAAAGACAAAACAAAATCTTGTTTTCTTTCCTCCTTCCTTCTTCTGTTTATCTCAATAAACAATTTTTAAAAGAAAAAAAAAAGAAAAGCAATTTAAAGCATGCAGAAAGAAAAATTCTGGTTATTTGCAAAACCAAAAAAGGGTTGTTTTTGACCTCTGCAACAGTAACTCAGAAGACAATGGAACAGCACCTTCAGAATTTTGAGATTTGACAAGTTTGTTGTCACTAAACAGTTTTATAACAAAAGTGTCTTTCATATGTATAGGAAACAAATATTTTTGATAAGCAAGAAAACAGTGTAGCATACATGTTCCTTAGAGTTCATGAATGTGGAAATCATGGTATAAAAGGACTAGTGATGAGCCCTGAAATCAATTAAACATGGAATTGTCTGAATAGTTTGGAAAACTTCAAAAAATTAAATGTGCAAGAAAATACACAAATGCTGAGTGTAAAATGTACAAATGCTGAGTCTGGTAGGAGAGTAAGCTTGTTGGGACACCCAGTTAAGTTTTATTTTATATAAGCAGAGAATACCTGTTTTAGTATAATTTTATAATATTGCATGGGACTTACACTAAAATTTTATGCATTTGAAATTCAAATTTATCTGGTCATTTCTGTTTTTATTTGCTACATCTAGCTACCCTATGGTGGGGGAGAGCAAAAGTGCCACATTTCTGATCTTAAATCCCAGGGATTCATAATAACATTTTCTTTTGGACTGACAATTTAAGAAAGGTCTTTTTTGTTTTTACAAACTTAAAATTGCAACTAATAAAACTAAAAAGTGTGCATAGGCCTTTCAAAATGGGAGAAGATAAAAGCAAAAAATATTCAGTCTCTATAGCAATGACTACCAAAAAAATCCCCCAAGAAGTTGGCCTAAAATATTAAAAGAAATGGATCAAGATAATTAAAGCCAAATGTATCAAAATATGTTCAATGCTTTATTTTAAAATGTTGAAAACAATGGGTTAAAAATTTCTAATCACATGCTATAACAGATGAAAAGGCCATATTGCTTAGAGACCAGGTGAAGGTTTATTAGACAAACATAAAGGAGTACTTACAATATGTTTTTAAAGGTTAAAAATGCACTAATTTAAACTTATTAAGGTGGGTAAAAAGACAAAATCATTAGTTTTCTAAACTCGTGATATTCAGAAAAATGTCAAAATGTTTGGTTTTTAATAATGAAATTTAAAGAGGAACAAATAAAAATGCTGAATGAAAATAATTTTAAAAAGGAGAAGCATAAAAGAGGACTAGAGAAGTCTTAATTTTCCTGAAAGGAATGTTCCTAATTTATTATTTCAGATCTCATGGAAATCCCAATGA